TGTTGTGCTGACAGCAAAGCACCATGAAGGATTCTGCAACTGGCCAACCAAACACTCCTTCAACTGGAATGCCATGGATGTTGGCCCTCACAGGGACTTAGTAGGTAGGTACAGAGTTGCGTCCCTTGGTTGTGCATCATCCATTGAACTTTGGTTCTAATCCTGAGAAAAGCTTGCATTACATTTCTTGGTTTGATAGCAGTAATGAATGGATTATTTAAATATTTGTTCGAGTCATCACAGATACGAAACGCCATTATAGAATTAGTGATGTTTATTAATGCTACAGAATTAAGTCTTTTATGCTGGTATTTGAAATATTTAAGGAGTAATTCATATTTAGTTGATACTTCTACTTATATAAACTGAGGGCCAAAAGAAACGTCCCCAAAGTAAAATTGTAAAAAACATTTCTTCTGTTTTCGTTATGACGGAAATTTATTTAGGAACACATCTTCCGAACGCATCCCCACGTCTCACAGAAAGGAAATCCACGTGGAGTTTTTTGTAAGCATGAAAATTGCTTTTATTCACGTTTTTTGCATGCTTCTGTGGAAACATACCCGTATGAAAGTACAGTATAAAAATTATGCTCGACTGTTCGAATTCATCACTTCAATACGTTGGACACAAAGAACATGCCTCGACTCACGGCAGAACAGAGAGAACGAGCTATTGGGATGTTGCAGCTGGGTGCTTCACACAGTCACGTTGCAAAGAATCATGGGTTGCAGCAAGAAAACCATCACCAGACTGATGACACGCTTCAGAACAACAGGTCGGACTGCAGACAGGCCTAGGGACAGGAGACCACCCGTAACCACCCCTCAGGAAGACCGCCATTTACGGGTGCTTCACTTGCGCAACAGATTCCTGACTGTGACGTCATCAGCAACAACCAGCCTTACCCATCCAGTCAGTAGAAGGACCATATCCAGACGACTCCGCCGATTCGGTATCAGAGCCTACAGACCATTCCGGGGCGTGACGTTAACGCGTGAACATCGACGTCGTCGATTGGCTTGGGCACGTAGAGTTCGGCAGTGGCAGCCGCGGAACTGGCGCCGGGTACTCTTCAGTGACGAGAGCCGCTTCCAGTTGAACAAAGCTGATGGTCGGGTACGAGTCTACAGACGTCGGAACGAACGCACAGCACGTTGTTGCGTTCAGGAAGTTGAGACGTTTGGCGGCGGTAGTGTGATGGTGTGGGGGGAAAAGGGCGAGAGGAAGACTGACTTGTTGGTGATAGAGGGAAACCTGAATGCCCGTCGATACATTGATGTTGTTTTACGACCTGTCGTGTTACCCTTCCTCCAGCAGAATCGAGGCGTGTTGTTTCAGCAGGATAACGCTACTCCCCACACTGCTGTTGTTACCCGGAACTTCCTGAACAACAACAACGTAAACGTCATTCCTTGGCCAGCAAGATCCCCGATTTATCACCTATTGAGCACCTATGGGATCATCTCGGCCGTCAGGTTAAGCAACGTCAACATCCCCCACAGACAAGAAACGCTTTGGCTCAAGCTCTACAGGAAGAATGGCGTCGCATCCCACATCACGTGATCAGACGTCTTGTGCACTCTGCACGACGTCGTGTGGCAGCATGTATCGCTGCAAGAGGTGGACACACTCGCTACTGAGGAGTTGGACACTCAAAGACACTCTGTCAGTACTGATGTGCATATGTTGTCATGATCGAACACCGGACATTTGAACCTCCTGTGAAAAACGTCACAAAAACTCTACTTACAGCAAATTGTTTCAATTGTTCTGTAATGACAGTCTGCATAATATGTTAAAAAATTATATCAAACATTTCAACATTGAATTGCACGTGTTTGTATCATTTTATGATACAAAAATGATCGGGGACGTTTCTTTTGCCCCTCAGTTTACTACCACCTCGATCAGTATTTACCCTTTATTGTGGTTCACCTATTCTAGGTGACCTGGCCAACTCCATACGAAAGAAGACGACCATCAAGTTTGGTCTTTACCACTCACTGTTCGAGTTTGTCAATCCCATCTTTCTTCAAGATCAGAAGAACGGTTTCAAAACTCAAAACTATGTTAAGGTACGTCCAGCGTAAGTTTTACAATATGAAACAAATCTTAAAGACATGTTCTTTTTCAAGACTTTGTTACGTTGTTAGTACGTCTAACGGACATTTTCATATATTTTAAAATGTATCTTCAGTTTTAAATTTGTAGTATTAAATATTTCCTTTGGTTGAGTCTTAAAATGTTCTCATATATATTGCCTTACTGAAGGCTTTGTTAGCTAATCTTAACCATGATAAACTTCACCTTTGTGAGAAACTAGCTATATGTTTGGTATAATAGTGTGTGTATTCACTTTCTTAGATGTTTTGGTTTGCTTCGGGTCAGTTAAGAATCCCAGTACGGTACTACCCTTAAATACGGAGGATCGGAAGGGTAGACTTTGTGAATGGTTGTCATGGTAACTAGGCATGTTGGTCGTCATAATATCAACCACTGTTCTGTTTAATTATTCTGCAATATTCTCGCTTACTTCGGCAAATGCATTTATTCACATGATTCTGTTACAATAGTGAGGTGCAATGATGTCGGGTACACATCGATTCATTTGAACAGACATAATTACGCCTCTCCTTATGTCCATGGTTTATACCATAAATGAACAAAATATTGACCATTATAAGCATTATTTTCAGTACAAGACAATGCCCGAGTTATACGAGCTGGTGAACATGTACAAGCCTGAAGTTATCTGGTCTGATGGGGACTGGATGGCAGAATCAACCTACTGGAATTCTACAGAGTTCATAGCCTGGCTGTATAACGACAGGTAGGTCTCCACCTTTCACTTACAACCTAAACGAAGACAGTGTAATTCAGACTGTCAAAAGATGAAATGGGAATTGTAGGACAAATAATAAAATAAAAATATATAAACAAGTCGTCATCACTTTAGCGTGTAAATACGACTGTCAACAGCATGGCCCTCAGCCGTAGCAACATTCCTGGCGTATTGTTTCAAGACCATTGGTGAAACTCTACCACGTCAACAGTCATGACCTACTGTTAAAGCAAACATTTGTGGCACGCATTGCACTTTAACCTCTGAAACCTTTCGGTCTGCTTCACAATTCTGCACTGCATCCATAGAAAACATTCTGTCCCTTTCACAATTCTACACTGCATCCATAGAAAACATTCTGTCCCTTTCACAATTCTGCACTGCATCCATAGAAAACATTCTGCCCCTTTCACAGTTCTGCACTGCATCCACAGAAAACATTCTGTCCCTTTCAAAGTTCTGCACTGCATCCATAGAAAACATTCTGTCCCTTTCACAGTTCTGCATTGCATCCATAGAAAACATTCTGTCCCTTTCAAAGTTCTGCATTGCATCCATAGAAAACATTCTGTCCCTTTCACAATTCTGCACTGCATCCACAGAAAACATTCTGTCCCTTTCAAAGTTCTGCATTGCACTCAAATTTCTTAGAAACGATTTGGTCCCTCCCAACAGTCCATTTTACAATTCTGCACTGCATCCATAGAAGGCATTCTGTCCTTTTCACGGTTCTGCACTGGATCCATAGAGGGCATTCTGTCCTTTTCACAGCTATGTACTGGATCCGTAGAAAGGACATAACATATGACAATTTAAAGTGAGTCCCAGAGAGATGGGAGATCCAGATCTGAGGAAGTCCATTCTTCTCTTGACTTGAAGGGTTTGCATTAAAGGGAATATAATATCTCCCAGGGTGTGTAGGAAAGATTAAACCACTAGGGAAAGTTATGTCCATTGTTCTTGGAAGTGTTTTATTAGCATAACTGGGGCGGTGGGGTAGCATAGTGGTTAAAGCGTTGGCTCGTCACGCCGAAGGCCCGGGTTCGATTCCCCACATGGGTACAATGTGTGAAGCCCATTTCTGGTGTCCCCCCGCCGTGATATTGCTGGAATATTGCTAAAAGCGGCGTAAAACCAACTCACTCACTCACTATTAGCATAACTGAATAGCCCTAGGGCAATTATTTTTCTATTTAAAAACAATAAAATTGTACTTATTTTGATAATCTTCATCATGCCTAATACAGTACACGCGTATTAAATAAGTATGCCCTCGTGGTGTAAGCCGTTTAATCACCCTCACTACGGTAGTTATTTAAATAAACTCTGCTCGGGCTTAATCCCTCGCGGAGTTTATTCAAATAACTATATTGTAAAGGTGATTAACCTGTGCGTACCCAGGACTGCAATCTAGCTTAGCTTTTTGTTCTTCAAACGTTGTACTGAATGTTGCGATCTCCTTTCCCCGTTACAATGCTTGTACTTGTGTTAACTGTAGATACGTAAGACTGTGTCACAATGTTGCTATGTTAGTTTCCTACATTTTCGCGGTGAAATTTGAGTATTCCTAATAAAAACTCTCACTCGTTCCAGCCCTGTAAAGGACACTGTGGTGACGAACGACCGCTGGGGTAAAGATGCCACGTGCCATCATGGCGGATACTTCACCTGCAACGACAGGTTCAACCCAGGTGCGTGTATAACTCCGGTTTCGAACTGAATCACAAATTATTCAAAGCTGAATAGAAATAGTTTGGTATTTTGCCATGCGAGTTTTATGTCCGTTTGTACAATAATGGTACATTATTGACAGGAGCGGGGTACATTATTGTCAGGAGTGGGGTACATTATTGACAGGAGCTGGGTACATTATTGACAGGAGCTGGGTACATTATTGACAGGAGTTGGGTACATTATTGACAGGAGTGGGGTACATTATTGACAGGAGCTGGGTACATTATTGACAGGAGTGGCACAGAAGCATAAGTTTGAAGATGCTACCACCATCCACAAGACGTACTGGGGATTCATCAGGAACGCCAAGCTGAGTGACTTCCACACCACCGAGGAACTCCTTACGCAGCTCGTCACAGTTGTCAGGTAAATATTCCAGGCTGCTAGGTGAGTGAGTGAGTGGGTGGATGAGTATGTGTGTGAGTGAGGGAGTGAGTGTTTGAGTGCGTATGCCGATGCGCATTATTCCAATCACTTGATTGTTTGGTCTAGATTTGATTACTTACAGACAGCCGTCCTATAGCTTGGATAGATGTGAGTGGCTTTAAACAATCATGATACAAGCCTATATATGTTGGTTTAATTGTTGCACAACGTGGGTCCCATAGATGTATGTATATGGAAGGAGCATAGATTATTGCTTGTCCAAGGAAGACATATTTTGAAAAACATTCAAACTAAATGTGTGTCCAGATCTATCGCCTTGGTTACGAGGTAAGGGTCACAGGATAGCGTGTTGGCCTAGTGGTAAAACCTGGTTCGAGTCTCAACAGTGACACGTACATTTCGTTAAACTCTACCTTGTGATACTCCGAATACCGCTGGATAAAACTTAATCAATTCACCTACTGGATCCACGGAGTGAAACAGGGGTGAACTACTGATTAAAGGTGAAAGGGAGGCAACTCTACACAGCATCGCTTCTCCTCGGACACCCCTCTTCACGAAATGGTCGGATATATGGGGGCGTGGTGGGTGAGCTGGGCGAGCTGCCTAAGGTGCCAGGTTAGTGATCCAGCGAGCTTTGAGGTGCCGGGATCGAGCCCACCTGTGACCGGGTGTAAAAACCTTGCCGTCAACTTTATGTTGTGTTATTGTCACAACCCCTAGTGTACAGTACACAACCCTGTGCACTTAAATGAACCCACGAATCCGTTGGTAAATGACCAGATGGTGGCCACATAAATACGTGTTAACACCTAGTTGAGGCAGTGAACTTGGACAAACCGATGTGACTATGTGGTCCACCCAGCTGTGAATGGGTACCTCGTAAGGATGGGAAAGCCATATTAACTTGGTGCGCCTCGTGGCTGCACGAGTTGTATGATCCCCAGGGAGTTGAGATTGAAAATACGATGTGCCGTTGAGATTGACATCCGATGATTGAGCATGCATGTAGATGAGATGAACTATATCGCTATGTAAATACTAGGGGTGACGATTGATGAGGAAACAACTATTGTGATATCGATAGTCTATTGCAACATACTATTGCGATATCGATAGTCTGTTGCAACCAACTGCAATACTAATGCAATTATAGTTCTTTTTCTCCTTGAATTGTTTCAGTTGAAGTCATTTCCCAAATGAATGTATAGTGTATATGAAATATAAACAAGTAGTTTCAGTCTCTTTTATTAACCGAAACCCAGATCAAATAAACAGTTAAAACATAAAGTCAGTGAAGCTGCAAGTCTGCACCCAAACAATAAAAGAATACAAAACAATATAAATATTTACTAAAAATAAATAACCTTCCAAATACCCATTTGGATTGAGAATTTATCAACAGGAGTTAATTATTAAACTATCGATAGTCATACATACTATCGATGCATCGATAGTTTTATTTTCGTTTCTGACATCGATTAATTGCCATTGGAGACTCAACAATTGCAATCCATCGATAGTTCGATGCATCATTACAACCTTAGTAAATACCCATATAATGTACAGAACAACATTAGAAACGCACCACACTAAAATGCATGAACGATGCTCAGATATCATGGGTACATTTCAGTCTGACAGGGATATTTGGTGTTATATGGGTGGTGCGTTTCTAATGTTGTTCAGTATATATACAGTACATGATGTTATATATTGTGATACCTACCTACCTACCTACCAAGATAATTTCGTTCTATGACAGCTGCGGTGGCAACCTCTTGCTGAATGCTGGCCCCACCCCTGACGGAATGATCAGCCCAATACTTGAGGAGAGATTGCGTCAGATGGGACAATGGCTGAAGGTTAATGGAGACGCCATCTATGAGACTCGACCCTGGACTCACCAGAACGACACAGCGACCCCTGGTGTCTGGTGTGTATATTACATACAAGTTCCTCCTATCTACGTACTTAAGTGACCTACTTACGGACCATATTCTCACGTGTCTTGTCCTTGACATACTAAACATATAAGATATCTAAGCTATTTTATCATTAATAGTGGTTTGACAACGAGGTTAAAAATAGTTAATGAGGATTGTTATAAAACAGGAAATCAAACACAATTGACCATATATTTCAATGAAAAACTCTAGTTCCAAGCAACATGATAAACCTAGCACAGCATCCACAGGAAGGGTTGAGGAAATAAAGTCGCGAGGCCGTTTTTTGTGGGTGTAATTCAAATATGTCACAATGTTTCTTTCATGGGTCCACTTTCATAGAAGTGGGTGGGTGAGGTAAAATTTAACTAGCCATATTTCATTTTAACTGGTGGCTGTGAAATACGGAAGAGTTCTGTTGTATCACCTCTATACTTGCGTAGGTACACTTCCAAGAAGTCTGCCACCGGTATTTCCGTGTACGCCATCGCTCTCCGCTGGCCAAAGGGAGGTAAACTGGAGCTAGCTGTCCCACAAGCGGGTCCTGCCACCACAGTGACGTTGCTAGGATACCCAGGACACTTTGATTTCCAAGCTGGAGCCACATCAGGAATGACAATCACAGTTCCAGCAATTCCATCCGATCGTATGCCTTGTCAGTGGGTCTGGGTTTTCAAGCTTGATAATCTCAAAAACCAATAGGATTTTGAGAAAGTACAGTTTTGTACACTTCAACCAGGGTACTTTTATGTCAAGGTCATTTTCTTTTGTTCTATATATGCCTTATGCTTCCCCACGCCTTACGGAAGCTTTCCCATGTCTCACCCCATATACAACATTGCCGCCGTTTTGGCCACGCTGAAAATGTATGAAGATGAATTCCGGTTTCTCCCGCAGTGATATTGCAGGAATATTGCTGATAGTAAAACAATACTCACTCATTATTGGGTGAGTACGTAATTGTTATCATTTTGACATATCTTGATGTATTTGAATAATATTTGATAATTACAAAACTACATAATAAAACCCCTTATACCCTTTCACTGATTTGATAATCTATCACCCGTCCCGTTTGCCTGTTGTCAATGGTTTTGTACTCCTGTTTTAGAATTAAACTTTTCTTAAAACATTGTCGTCTTCTCGTATGACCTGACACTGATTACTTATTGCTCTTAAAGAACTCCCAAGGAAACTCCTTTGGGTTTTCAGTTTTTCCCATGATGTCAACATGCATTGATAACTGCAGCACATCCTGAAAGTTTGAATACCCAATCGCAAAGATCCAGGTTAGAATTGATCATCAGTAACCCATGCTTGTCGTAAGAGGCGACTAACGGGATCGGGTGGTCAGGCTCGCTGACTTGGTTGACACATGTCATCGGTTCTCAGTTACGTAGATCGATGCTCATGCTGTTGATCACTGGACCATCCGGTTCAGATTCGCTTATTTACAGACCGCCGCCATACAGCTGGAATATTGCCCAGTACGGCGTACAACAACAAACATAACAAACTGGTGTGGGTAGAACATGGATTTCTGGACCCTTCCGTTATCTGTGTGCCCCCGTGAGTCCAGGGTAGAATAAGCTTCCAGCTCCTCGTACGTGTTGCAAGAACCCATTATCAATCCGGTTGTTACAATGTGCCGTCTGGGCAAGCCCAACCAGTGGTCGATAGCATACAAGCGATGACACACAATCGCATCAAACAACTTAATATTCATGATACGTACACCCGTGAAGATCCGGGTTAGAATTGATCATCAGTAACCCATGCTTGTCAATCAATCTTTATTTCAGTACTGAGGAGGCCATAGGCCTATAGTACATTTCATATATACAAATTTCTTATCGACATGGCTTGATAAATGAAACCGCAACATTATTAATTACACTTTCATTTGAAGAATTCAATAGAGACGAAAATTTATCAATTGATGGATGGACAAAATAGAGTTCTTTATATATTTTTTACGTATAGTATTATATGCTGGGCATAGTAGAAGAAAATGTCTTCTATAAGATTATTATTACAACATCTACATATTCTATCCTCTCTTTTGATATTCATAAACCTACCTCTTTCAATTAATAAATCATGAGATGAACAACGGAAACGAGCTAAAGCTATTCTATATTTCTTAACATTAACACATGATAAATAACGTTCAGTAAAAATGTGTGTTTTAAAGATTGAATAATAATTACATTTTGAAGCTAATGAAATTGTTTCCAACCATTTCTGCTGGTAAATATCTTTTAATCTTTGAGTGAATGCATTTAGAAACAATGACGAACATTCAACGTTTTGTTTATACCATAAATGACTAAATCCAGTAGAAAAAGGTAGGTGTTTAACATCTGTTATCCAATTCCTTATTTTTTACCTTCTTTGTCATATAGTAACATTATATTATAGCATTTTTTTTGTAAACGGTAGGATGGCATACTTAGTAACCTTATCCAATATTTAATAGCCCTGAGTTGTGAAGATATGATGAGCGGGTATCTGCCACATTCCCCATATACCGTAACATTTGATGTGCTCATCTTTACCCCGAGAAATTTCTTGCAAGGAAATAAATACTTTTTCTATGGAATCAAAGTATTTAAATCCCCATATTTCCGCACCATACAGTAGAATTGGTTTGATTTTAACATCAAATATTCTAAAAAAGGATGTTAAATTTAAATCCCCAAGTATTTCTATATTTCTCAATATACCTATCAAAACTTTCGTGCTTGAATAGATGCATATTTTGCATGTACCAGCCATGATAGATGATTAGTGACGTATACACCAAGGTATTTATATGAAGTTGTAGTCTCTATAGTAGTGCCTTTATAGAAGCATTTTTCCTTTTTTGATAAGTTCCCCCTTTTTCAAAAACAACTACTTTCGTTTTATCCATATTTACATTTAGGCATGATTTTTACAGTAGTTTTCTAGTTCGTTAATTTGCTTCTGTGGGCCAATGATAGTACTCGAGATGAGAACAATATCAAGATGAAACATATCGGGATGCAACTGTATACCACGTGAGCAATTATTTTCAATCTGTACTGCTAGTTCATTTATGAAGAAGGAAAACAAAAAGGACTGAGTACACAACCTTGCCTTACTCCAATAAGTACATAAAAAGTTTCAGAGAGTACAGTGTTATTCCTGACACAAGCTTTAACATTCTCATGCATGTTACGTAATAGATTGGTCATTTTGAGGCTGAGTCCATTTGTGTTACATAGTCCCCATAGCTTATGCCTTTGCACAGAATCAAAAGCTTTTGAAAAGTCAACGGACAATGCATATAACCTGCCACATTGAGTATTTTAATATCTTTAAATACCATGCTTGTCGTAAAGGCGACTAACGGGATCGGGTGGTCAGGCTCGCTGACTTGGTTGACACATTGTATCCCAGGGCCTAGATTTTCGAAGCTCTTTTAGAGTTAAGATAGTCGTTAGTACTATACATTAACATTACTTACGACTATCTGAGCGCTAAGAGAGCTTCGAAAATCTAGGCCCAGTTGCGTAGATCCATGTTCATGCTGTTGATCCCCGGATTGTTTGGTCCAGACCCGATTATTTACAGACCGCCGCCATATAGCTGGAATATTCTTGAGTGCGGCGTAAAACAAACCCCTCACTCACTCATAATGCGTACGCAATGCCAGGCTATATGGCCTATGAAACACACGACTCAGATTATACACATTCAGATGTGCATAAAAACAAGATACGTAGATACAAAACATTGTTGATTCCCGGGTCATATTGATGAGTGGGGTAATGGGGAAAACTCGTGTTTTCTTCACTGAAACATTTAGGATAATGTTTCGGGATATGATCAACCTATCGCTGCGAATTAACACATGTCGACAGGGGACATCTGCAAATATAACTATAGTGAGCTAGAAAATGTACGTTGGCTTCAACGACGTGACGTTACTATTAGAACCAGCAACAAATCTCTGATTGTACGGATTCTTATTTAGTTTTGGAATCCAGTACAAAACAGGAATGGACATGTCTTCAGGTTTTAGAGTCAAGCCAAACGTTGACTCATCAGTTGATGACTGTGTTCAGGGGACTGTGTGTGTGTGTGCGTGTGTGCGTGCGTGCGGTCGATCCTATTTTAAGGGCTGGGTGCTACAACGAATCTTACTCATTCCCACTCTGAGTTCTACTTAAAACAAAACTGATTCATCAGTTGATGTGACTATCAAAATATTTTATTGCCATAAACTTGACCATGGTCAATCAAGGAAAAGTATACAAGTCATGGTAATCTTTGGAAAGAATGCGAGCAAGTTAAAAATCGAAACAAGAAATTGAAAAAATAAGAAACTTGTAATTGAAGGTCAACACTTTGTTATTTCCAAGATATACGAAATTTATAAATAACAAAACAATGTCTGCAAATGGCACTTTACATTTGTGATTGATAAGCAGAAGCCAATCTGTGCCCAACCTATAACAGCCATTACCAGTGGTTTTATTACCAACTGATTAAACGTCCGGCGACATGCTCCTTCTCGACAGCATTAACACAGCTCAACTCCGGTGGGACAAATAGGGAAATAGCAAACACACAACACAATATTCCTTGGTAAGGTCAGTCCGTGTCTGTTATTACGATGATTCGTAACGCTGCGAAAGCTTTGTTTTCGGAACCCTTAACATAAAATAGATAAAAATCAGAAACTTGTAATTGAAGGTTTCTTAGACAAAAGCTTTGTTATTTCCAAGATAAACATTTTTTTTTTAAAATCCAACGAAACATCCACAAATGGCACTTTATATTTGTACGCAATCTGTGCACAATCCCTTTTCATTTTTTCATGGTTAATGAAGATTTCACCAAGATCAGCCATTACCAGCGGTTTAATTACCGACTACTTAAACGTCGACCCCCATACTTGCTTCTCGACAGCATTAACACAGCTCAACTCCGGTGGGACAAATAGGGAAATAGCAAACACACAGCACAATATCCCTGGGTAAAGTCTGTCCACGCTGTCGTCACTCCACCTGGAAGCAGGTCATTCTGGCAGCGATGAGTGTGTTGGGGCTGGGGTTGGTGGTGATGACAACGAAGCTGAACCTGTCGGTGGCGTAGTAGGCGGAGTTGTGGTACTCCTTCTCGTCCTGGTCCTTGACCAGTGTCAGGTATCTGTGAACACGTCAGTATGGCAACAAGTCTCGCATTGGACAGTTTTGGTTTACAGGTACGTTTCACAAACAACGAACCTTTTTCATATTAACGTGGGGCGGTGGGGTAGCCTAGTGGTTAAAGCGTTCGCTCGTCACGCCGAAGACCCGGGTTCAATTCCCCACATGGGTACAATGTGTGAAGCCCATTTCTGGTGTCCCCCGCCGTGATATTGCTGGAATATTGCTAAAAGCGGCGTAAAAACATACTCACTCACTCACTCATATTAACGAACTCACCTACAACGATCTTAAGAATATAACCAGCTGTGTTTTTTATTCGTCCAGGCAACATGCTGTATATTTTAGTCAAAAACGCTTATTACGAACTATGGATATCACGAAGCAAAATTAGTGATCCGTATTTTGTTGTACTAATGAGTAGGGATGGGCGATAATACAAGTTAACCGGTATATTGCAATTCGAAGTTCGCAATACCTTATATTGCGGTACACTTTTCGCGAACCGGTTCGCCCGATCCGATCGGCCATTTCCGTGACCATGATCGGTAATTTTCGTGTTGTAGTTAATAATAGTAATAAGATTTGTATTTCCTTTATATTATTATACATTCATAGTTTTGAGAATGTTTATTGGTCAATCACATCTGAGTGCTGACATTGTTTCAAAAATAGGAAAACAGTAATTTCATTACCTTAGTTAAACCACGTGTTTCACTTTCACAATATATTGCAGTACGAAAATTTTGTCAATATCCAACCCTACTAATGAGTGCAAGAGTTGGGTTCAAGGAAACTTGAAATAGTACATCGGTTATTTCATAGAATGTCAGCATAACTCAAATACCAGAAGGCTTCATGGAAACTACGCCCTACTCCCACGACTCCCGAATATCAACTTTTCACTCTGAGTATAACTGCTTACCCTGAATGCTGACTAGCACAAATCACAGCACCATTAAAAATGACGTGAGATCTCAAGTTTTGTTGATGAGGGGGAAATAAGTTAATGCATGATCTTTTTCAAATTTGGAATCTGCATACCAAAGTTATATGGTGCCTGCGTTTAACACATGTCTCGTATTCTCTCTAATAGAATCCTTTGGTCGTTGTTGAACCTGTTTGGAACAGTATACACTTACACATGTAATTAATGTGTCTAATCTCACCTCACATCAAGATACCCGTATCTCACATTTCACTAAGATACCCATATCTCACCATGCACTAAGATACCCGTATCTCAACTTACACTAAGATACCCATATCTCAACTTACACTAAGATACCCATATCTCACCTTACATTAAGATACCCGTATCTCACCTTAAGATACCCGTATCTCACCTTACATTAAGATACCCGTATCTCACCTTACATTAAGATACCCGTATCTCACCTTACATTAAGATACCCGTATCTCACCTTACATTAAGATACCCGTATCTCACACTAAGATACCCGTATCTCAACTTACACTAAGATACCCATATCTCACCTTACATTAAGATACCCATATCTCACCTTACATACCCGTATCTCACCTTACACTAAGATACCCATATCTCACCTTACATTAAGATACCCCTCAACTATATTAAGATACCCGTATCTTACACTAAGATACCCGTATCCAACTTACACTAAGATACCCGTATCTCAACTTACACTAAGATACCCGTATCTCAACTTACACTAAGATACCCGTATCTCACCTTACATTAAGATACCCGTATCTCACCTTACATTAAGATACCCGTATCTCACCTTACATTAAGATACCCGTATCTCACCTTACATTAAGATACCCGTATCTCATTTTACATTAAGATACCCGTATCTCAACTTACATTAAGATACCCGTATCTCACCTTACATTTAGATACCCATATATCACCATACACTAAGATACCCATATCTCACCTTACACTAAGATACTTGTATCAGATTGGTAACCGGCAATATTGTCTCTTGTGCCCAACTCGCAGATAGGACACAAAGAGAACTACAAGTCTCGATTCAATGAGGGGTGATAAGTTGTTTCATGTCCCTACCTTTCATCGTCCAAGAGTGTCTTGTCCAGAAGGGAATCAAGCAAGTTCTTCTCAACGTCATTCACCATCTCGACCTCTCTGATGTCATGTGACCCCATGTCCAGCACGAGTGGTTTGCCGAACCTGTATACAGATGACGAAGCCGTTACCAAAGTCAATGGTTCAGAAACGATTAAAATGTGTCAGCAAAGGCCCAGCTGTAATATCAAAGTCAACAATATTCCAGCTGTATGGAGGTCGCCTCTAACAGTCTATGTGTGGGCGACACAAACCCGTGATTGACATTATGAACACGCCGTCTTGTAACGGTGACGCACATCGATCAGCTCTCCGAGTCAAACCACGCAATGCCTCGCACGACAAGCATTGGTCGCTGCAGTCCCAGTCTAACCACACCGAGGAATATGTATGGTACACCAAAATTCATACTTAACCTAGGTTTTCCAAACTGCCCTAATCCCACAGATCCGTGAAGATTCGGGTTAGAATTGATCTTCAGTAACTAATGCTTGTCGTAAGAGGCGACTAACGGGATCGGATGGTCAGCCTCGCTGATTTGGTTGACACATGTCATCGTATCCCAATTGCGTAGATAGATGCTCATGCTGTTGATCACTGGATTGTCTGATTCAGACTCGATTATTTACAGACCGCCGCCATATAGCTGGAATATTGCTGAGTGCGGCGTTAAACAACCAACCAACCAACTAACTAACCTAATCCCACGCTGTTGTCTATATGAGATATATGCTACTCAACGTTTGACTGCATATTAACTAGTGGTGTTCCGATTAATTCAAATAATCGAAGATTGGTCGTAGTGACTAAACGACCAAGCAATCGATCATAATTTCTCATAATCGAACACAAACAACTCTGGAACACTTGTTTTCATTAACAATATTTTTCATTAGGTTGGTTTTGTCTGTTACATTTCATAAGCACTACAAACTCGTTTCAAGTCATGATTGAATTTATCTTAAAGACTCCAAGAAATTTATGTTCCAACATACTAGTCATCCTTTAAAGATGTGAAATTTTGCCAAAAAATCCCCAAAGAACTACATTTTTCCCCTTATTTTAATGTGCATTAACAAATTTCATAAATGACGCTAACCAATTATTTTCGATGATTGATCGGTAGTAATGAACCAATCATCAATTATGAGATTTTAACCAGTTCCCAACACTAATATTAACTATGATGGCTGGGAGGTATTACGAACTCAGTCTTCCAGTTGTGGTGTCCTTGAACTATATATTTTGAGTGGTAAGTGGTTTCCAAACCCCCCTGACTTATACCGTTTTCAAGCATGAGGAAAACGGTATAAGTATCTATACCGAAACGTCGTTATTGTACAATAAAGAAGTTGACCATCCATAAAGACTTGTCATTCCTATTCTTCGGGGCTCAAGACTCGGCCGGGGACATTTGTTCCTCTCTTGGAGTTGGAAACTTTGTTATTGAGCAATAATTCGACCACCTATGAAAGGGTGAGATGTTTGACGCGGTTTTAAACAGTATTTAGTTTAGTTCTCACCTCAGTGCACCCAAGAGTGCTCTCCTGAGTTTGTCGGCGTCCAGGTCACCTGGAAGCTCGGCCTGCAAGACGTTAGCATCGCGGTATCTGAAGAAGGTGGCCACGTTTCCCTGAAGGTCGATGACGAGGGGCCATCTGAAATACAAGGTCGACATTCAGTCTCAGCAACATGCGAAGACACACCCGCATCCCCGTGTACATTACTAATGTTGGCTATGTGAGAATTAATTGATTAATTAATTAATTAGATAACAGTTTAAATATTAAACATACAACTTTATGGATGACAACTTCTTGCTTATCGCATAAGCGACGTTTCGATGTTTTAGCAAGATAACAATGTAAAAATCTATATCGAAACGTCGCTTAATGCCATAAACAAAACGTTGTCATCCATGAAGTGATATGTTTCGTTGTGTCTCACCAACGTCTAGAATGCCGATCAAACAATTAGATATGACAGTTTGTTTGTTGTTTAACGCCGCACTCAGCAATATTCCAGCTATATTGCAGCGGTCTGTAAACAATCGAGTCTGGACCAGACAATCCAGTGATCAATAACAAGAGCATCGACCTACGCAGTTGGGATACGATGACATGTGCCAACCAAGTCATCGAGCCTGACCACCCGATACCGTTAGTCGCCTCTTACGATAAGCAAACGGTTGCTGAAGACCAGTTCTAACACGGGTCATTAAATAACACAAGGTCCAAAACACATACATGATCAAATAGATCACCATAGTAAAACCTGGCTAGCTATTCTCGAAATGTTCGTAGCCATACGAACTTCTTGAGCCCATTCTTAACACGTTTCGAGAATAAGGGCCCTGTTCTTGTTAGTTTCAGTTTTAGCTAACATCAGAGAGAAATATTCTTTCTTTTGCCAATAGGTTTGTCAACAGACCCACATTACAAAGATAACAAGTGCAGGACTATGTGTTCAAGTCATAGAAGTGTGTGGTCAGTGTTTTTATTACCCACGTGGTCAACGTATGGGTAGTTGCATACTAATCTCGTACGTCACACGAGTGTCGTATCGCGTTGACCTGGGCCCTTATTCTCGAAACGTTCGTAGCCCTAAGAATTCTTAACTTTGATCGTAGCCAATGTGTTAAGAATGGGTTTAAGAAGTTCGTAGGGCTACTAACGTTTCGAGAATAGGGGCCCTGTGTTGTAACGACATGACCTGAGATTCTAACGATTTGATTGGATAACCGATGACCTCTCAATTAGGTCACGTTGTGACGAAACTATTTGTTCATTCATAACAAACACGTTAATTCATTCAAGTTTCCACCAGTGATGTTAGCCGAGTGAAGCAACTGCAAACTAAGAAACGGGGTGCTACGGAGTAGTTTAATGTAGGAGGCTGTGCGAGGCGATGACAACGGACATGCATAGTGACGTCGGTTACCAAGGGGGCAGACGAGCAAGGCGTAGTGACGAGATTACAGTGTGACGCCATGCAAAAGGTGTACTACAGAACAACATTCTTCCGCAACCTCTTTATGAAACCGGTTTCGGTTTGAAACCATAAAAATAACAAAAATACGCTATTTTGTCACTATAAAGCATGTAAGGCGTGGGTAATAAATATAATACCACACTCGGTCTCATAACATGCGAATTATACGAAACGAGTGTCCTTCCTATGGTATCTGACCGAACGAAAGCGAGGTCAGAAACCATAGGAGGGTCACGAGTTTCTCATAACATGCGAATTATACGAAACGAGTGTCCTTCCTATGGTATCTGACCGAACGAAAGCGAGGTCAGAAACCATAGGAGGGTCACGAGTTTCTCACTGTATAATTATGAAACATGTTATGACCGAACGAAAGCGAGGTCAGAAACCATAGGAGGGTCACGAGTTTCGTATAATTCGCATGTTATGAGACCGAGTGTGGTATTCTCTATTTAGTATTCAATTGTACACGTCATCCAAACTTACTTTTTGGGATCCTTGCTGTTGGCTTCTTCCGTCAGTCTACCGAGGGCCTTCATACTTATAGTCGTCACCGGCGGCATCGGTGGAGGGGCGGCTGCTGCTGCTGCTGCCTCAGCTGCAGAGAACATATAAACATCTTACGGAGGACAAATACAGCAATGCTTCCAACTGAAGAACTAAATTTAGGAATAGAAGGACGGAGGGCAGTACCAGCCATTGGGCATTGGTTTTTAGTTTAGTGTTTGACGCCTCGCCAACAATACAACAGCTTTATGACGGCGACTTGCAAACAGTCAAGTATGGTCGGGTACTACGTTTGGCTGAAGTGGTCGGTGTCAGTACCAGTACTAAAGATATGTATCCCATATACTAGGGGTGAATGGATACTGCAAGATTACGATACAGAGGTCACGATAGATACCTATTGCGATACATATATTGACCTCAAGTCTCGTGGAAACCTCTTGACGGTAAATATTTCACAGCAGCTTCGGATAGGAAAAGCTAGCTTCAAACGCATGAGCGTCACGGCTATTTCGAGTAGTAAATTTGAAAAACTGATTACAATTCATTTTGCGAGGTTTGCGTGATAATTGAGTGAAAAAATATAGGGTGTATTTAAGCTGATAGTGTTTAGCGAGTATGTCGTATAGCCTACCCTAGCCCAAATGAAAACAGTGACAGATCGCTTAAACGGTTCCTTAATTGATTCTAAACGTAGAAGATATTATTTTTTCAGTTTCTGAATTGGAACTGACAAATCCTTTTGTGAGATGCATTCCAGCGAGATAAATTAAATGAACAACAACGAAGGGCTACATTATTCATATATTCAACGATGTACAGCATTCTCCAGCATGCAGGCGAACCGGAACTACAATTAACATGAACCGGTTTCATTTCAGACTGAGGAATATAAACTCCTCGACCGTTTAGGGTACCACGTACTTTTATGTATTCACATTTTGTCTGGGGTACATTCCTGTACATTTCTGTACCTGGGGTACCCACATCTGGTGTGCATGTGCTGACAAAGTCACAAAGTCTGTCTATCTGATCTAATATACCGTTAGTCACAACTCATCACAAAACAAAATGGTAATGGGGATCTAATCTACCTCGAGTCTCCACGAAGACCAAGTAAACCCTCAAGGAAATGACTACCATAGTAGGAAGGACATGTACACAAGCAAGCACGTCGAGACAACCATCTTGTTTTTATCTGATATATCTAATCAAGGCGATACTAATCAAACCTTTTTGGCTGTCAGCCTTCTTTGCCGCAGGTTTGGTGGTGGTTCCTTTGGATTTAACAGGTGTAGACGACGTTTTGGAAGTGGGGACTTTTTTAGGCGGCATGTTCAGCGTTATGATGAGACTAACTTGTGTGAACTAGCTTCAAGTCAAATATCGAGTATGGTCGCGGTAACCTAGCTGCATATAAACAGTAGTATCCGATTTCACACACTCCAGCGCACCCTGACGGGTGTAAGACAGGGCTAAGCTTTTAGCCAACCGGGTGTAGCGATACTTAAGCTATCTATAGTATTTTACATTAAAGACTGGCAGATAATCTATTCTCACTGTACTTTGTACTTCCGACAATCCCACGTCCACTGTTTAATATGGCTCCATACATCTAGAATTATTTTTGAGTGCAAAAACGTTTTTAAACTCATGTTGATCAACATCTAATATGTAATGTAAATACGTCGGCATAACTATTTGAAATTACCCCATAGTTAGTGAGGTTTTACGCCGCTTTTAGCAATATTCCAGCAATATCACGGCGGGGGACACCAGAAATGGGCTCCACACATTGTACCCATGTGGGGAATTGAACCCGGGTCTTTGGCGTAACGAACGAGTACTTAGGCGACATTAGTTTCAGTAATTTTACAGATAGTTTTAATACAATGAATTTCTGATCCTTTGCAGTTGTACAATCGTTTGCGAAAAGGTCCATAGGAACGTGAAATCATAGGAAAGCATTGTCTCAGAAAAGACTCGGTGTGAGACACGGTGACCAAAAAGGGTCACGGCTTTATCGTCTTCATTAAAGCCGTACCATGCACGAGATTGCGATCACACCAGATGAGAAAGCCATACTTTCTCGCAGTGACATAGGTTCGCGCAGCTTGGAAGCTGGTTGTCCGGTGAATACTCGGAGAAGGCTTTGGTGTGAGCGATTTTTCTAATGTTTTGTTGATATCACAGGCGCGAGCTTTTTATATGCTATGACAGTAGATTACCGATTTAACTGTTTATATAATTTCATTTGTCTATTTAACCACACGTTCTTTTTACCGAGTCACTTTCTCAGTTCCATACTTGAAAGCAATGTCATTATTTAGCGTTGACAAAATTTCTAACTGTGATATAGATATGTCGTTGTCACAGAAAAAAACTTAATGTTTGTTTTTTTGACACCTATGTGTCTGCCTGCCTGTCTGCTAATGACAATATTCAATACACAACTTCGATCACTGACCACATGCAATTTGAACTTAACACCTATCAGGCTATACACCATAAACAAACGCATTGATTTATGGCCCGAGTTCGGTCTCTGTCACATTATGAAATTACACAGACAGGCAGGTGTGATACTTGTACACATGACATGTTATGATGTCTGTTGATTGCAAAATGTTATGCACAAAAAATGAGCATATATTTACAAAACCCAACTTCTCTATATATACAAACACAATGAGCCGTGAGGGCATCTGCAAATGAACCAGCCGTTACCCCTGAGTTGCACACCCACCCGCTCTGACTGGGTTCGGTATCCAGGCTGCTTCGTTTCTTGGGAAGTAAACCCAAGTACAAAATATTGCACTTTTGATTTGCGATTGTACGCTTAAAATGTTGTTTATATGTTTTTTTCATAATAAGCAATGTATATTATATGTCATGAATAAGTGATAATTGTCTTTTAATTATGTTTGATTTTTTGGTTGCATGTGAAGTAATGTTGAAAGATCTTCGCTAAGGCAAGTTTACAAAAAATTTACAAATTGGTATTTATGTAAAAATATTAGAAGTCTATATGTTCTGAAACATCAGTTATGTTTCAGTTTATTTTGGACCCGTGAAGGTTCGGGATAGAATTGATCTTCAGTAACCCATGCTTGTCGCAAAAGGCGACTAACGGGATCGGGTTGTCAGGCTCGCAGACTTGGTTCACACATGTCATCGGTTCCCAATTGTGCAGATCGATGCTCATGAGCTTGATCACTGGATTGTCTGGTCCAGATTCGATCATTTACAGAGAGGCGCCATATAGCTGAAATACTGCTGAGTGCGGCGTAAAACTAAACTCACTCAGTTTATTTTACTGTCTGGGCCAAACACACGCAAAAAAAGAAGTTTATTTTGAGAGTATAGAGAAATTGAACCATTCGTTCACAACACAATTATTCAGGCCTGATGAAGTCTCATTTGGGTAGATATAACAATAATTGCATACATTCAAACATCTGTTGACACATTTGTTAAGTTTAAGTTCATCTTGGACCAAACAGATCAAATGGGATAGAGACTGTGTTCTGACTTTGACAGACATAATAGCTTAACATACGATACACTGTGACCTTACAAAGTGGGGTTTAGGCGGCTATAAGTGTAGGAGGCGACACAGGGATCGGGTGGTCAGGCTCGCCGACTTGGTTGGGTGAGTGAGTTTAGTTTTATGCTGCATTTAGCAACATTACAGCATTATCAGGGTGGGGGACACCAAAGATCGGCTTCACACATTGTACCTGGCTTTGTTGAGACAGTCATTGTATCCCAGTTGCGTAGGTCATGATATTGATCACTAGATTGTCTGCTTCAGTCTCGATTATTTACAGACTGCCACCAAATAGCTGGGGGCAGCGTTAAACAAATAAACAACATGTGATTGAGCTGACCTGGTATGAGATGAAGTGAGGTGAAATACTAGCATACAATGTCAGGTACAAGATTACTCCAGTTATATCTGTGCATCAATACAAGTTTAACAGTGCTAGCTAGTGTTGGGAATTGGTTAAAATCTCATAATCGATGACTGGTTCATTACAACCGATCAATCATCGAAAATAATTGGTTAGCGTCATTTATGAAATGTGTTAATGCACAAAAAAATAAGGAAAAAAACGTAGTTCTTTGGGGTTTTTTTGGCAAAATTTCTTTAAAGGATGAGTAGTATGGAGGAACATAAATTTCCTAGAGTCTTTAAGATAAATTCAATCATGACTTGGAACGAGCTTGTAGTGCTTATGAAATGTAACAGACAAACCAACCTAATGAAAAATCCTGTTAATGAAAACAAGTGTTCTAGAATTGTTTGTGTTCGATTATGAGAAAACATGGTCGATTGCTTGGTCGTTTAGTCACTGCGACCAATCTTTGATTATTTGAATTAATCGGACCACCACTAGTGCTAGCCCACTGAGATAACATGCATGAACACACCACTCAGATACAATATACAGACCACAGTATGCTCAGACTACTGTATATCAACAAGTACCATATTGGAAATTCGGTTTAACCCCCATAACCATCCTCACTCACCCCAGACAAACATTTACAGGATATAGGGTATTTCCTCTAATAAGCGCACAGGCGCTTATTTTTTCAATGGACTTCCAGACCCCACGCTTATTATAGGCAAGGCGCTTTTTGCGATTACTGGGTGTACTTACCGTAATTGTTAGTGAGTTGCTTTACCTGGGCGCTTATTTGAGATCCCCTCGTTTATTAGAGGAAATTTAGGAAATACGGCATATAAAGCGTTAAAAACGAACACAAACAAATCCTCAGGTTTCCCTAGCAAATGAAATGTAATTAATTGCATTGTGTTTAATAATGCGTAGAAATAGGATGCACAAACCAGGGCAAAGGCAAATACTCGTTTATTTACCAAAATATCAAACTCAACAGAAAAATGCAATAACGTCAACATGTGGAGGATGCAAACAATAAACAGCAGTCTTCCATCAAGGAATTAAGTTTTACTCTTATAATTAATTACTACCAAGAAATAATGTTACAATGGAACATGAGTCCATGATTTCTGGAGAATAACTTGCCAGATATGCTGGGACTGTCAAACTGACATTTTGTTTAAAAATATAAATGCTCATGCAACATCCATTTTAGATTAGTCTGAGAGTTGTTTCTGTACTGTAGCATGAATAAGTATCTCAAACTTAAGTGGAAAAATCAATTTGAGATCTCAACTGTATAAGCTCATATGAATAAATATTTGCAAAAATAACATGCTACAAGCAATCAACGTAAGGGAAAATATATAAATAATTTGGAATGATATAAACACTGTAATTGACCAGACCAACACTGATGACCTGTTAGGTTCCATGACTATAATGTGTTACTATGGTAACCAGAATTCACATATATGTAAATATAGTACAAAATACAAACAAAACTGTGCCAATACACAACTCCTGCAACAGATGAGGTAGATAATCTGAAAATAACACTCCGCTATTTGTTTTAAATTGGTGGAACAAAACTGTCAAACCAATAAAGCGTCTGTGCACAATCAGAAAACATACTTCATGAAAAGCAAGGTTTAAAAAGGATAAGAAATGATGTTGTCAATTTGAAGCAGATACCTGTAATATTTGGCTTATGACATGTTAATTACTATGGACCCACAGCATGAAGCTATCTTAGTGCTAAGCGTATTGTAACACTTTACTAAATACTTTCATGTTGCCTTACCATAGTCTTAGCACCAAGATCACTTTGTGCAATGGGGTCCTGGTTTCTATAATAATGATTGCAAGGGTCAAAGTGAGACAACCGTCTTAATGCAACAACATAATATTGGTCTTACAAATTGTAAAAACTGTATCCACACACCTCGAATTCAGATATATTGGTTCTGCAAATTATCAAGTCTGAAAACCCAGGCCCACTGACAAGGCAAACCATTGGCTGGAATTGCTGGAATCATGATTGTCATTCCTGATGTGGCGCCAGCTTGGAAATCAAAGTATCCTGGGTATCCTAGCAACGCCACTTTGGTGGCGGGACCCGCTTGTGGGGCAGCTAGCTCCAGGTTATCTCCCCTTGGCCAGTGTAGAGTGATGGCGTACACAGAAATACCGGTTGCTGACTTCTTGGATGTGTACCTACACAATTATAAATGAGAATAGTAGTGTTTGGAGCTGGATGTAACATCATGACTTATGACTGGGTCTTCCTGATAGTTCAGTCATCTAAATGAACTGATAAGCAGCTGATGAATGTTAGTCAGTAAAAACATCAGTAGAACTTCAGTAAAAACACCAAATAGAAACATAAGATCTTACTTCAACACTTCATTTCTCAAAACAAACATAACACACACTAAGTGGTGAATAAATGTTCTCAGTAAACAAAACTAGAGGGATAAACATATTTGTGGTCATTAATGTACAACTGCTTTGGATTGCTTGGCAACTTGGACCCTCTGATTGATCTTTAATCATATCAAATAATCAGAATCCCACTATAGAATATATACTGCAAAAACAAAGTGTAAAACACTCTACAGTACATCACCATAGGCATATCAGCGCAAATGATTTACCAATAGTAACAAAGAAAAAAATCTGAAATTGAAAAGAACAAAGAGTGAGTATATGAGGTGCACTGCTTCAGACAGAAAAAAATCATCAGCCTACACATACTTGAATGAACAAGAGGCTGATATTATGAGCACCATCCTACATTGTCAGGAGATGGTGACCTGTGATCTACCCAGTCACAGAGTCTGATCAACCCACCTTCAAGTTGACTTTTTGACCAGCATAATACAGATTTTATCCCAAAATGTCAAGGGGTGTGTGTGTGTGTGTGTTTTGACAAGCACAACATTCTGATTGACATCTCATCTAAGGCTTTGTTTATAACATACTTACCAGACACCAGGTGTCACTGTGTCATTCTGGGTAGTCCAGGGTTGAGTTTTATAGATAGCGTCTCCATTAACCTTCAGCCACTGCCCCATCTGCCTAAGTCTCTCCTCAAATATCGGACTGATCATACCATCCGCAGTGGGCCCAGCGTTCAGCAGGAAGTTGCCGCCACAGCTGTCAACAAAACATTGTACGTCCATTGACACAAAACACACCATGAGTGATTGACTTGGGGTAAGTTCTGCTTTGAACAGTATTCTAGACACAGTTTCCCTGTGGTGGCATGTGATCTTTGGCACAGAACACAGGATGCAAATCATGTTACGTTAAGTAATATCAGTTGCTCAGAGTAGCTGGACTCCAGGAAATGTGTATGGTCTGGTCCTGCTCCTCATCGATGCACACGTTTGATTGTTGTCTAACGCTTCGCTCAGCAATATTCCAGCTTTAGGGTGGCGGTCTGTAGATAATCAAGATGTGACCAGACAATCCAGTGACCAACAGCATGAGCATTGATCTACGCAATAGGGATACGATGACATATTTCAACCAAGTCAGCAAGCCTGAGGCAACAATAGCGACATATCAGGTACTACATTCATTTTACAAACTTCATTTATGCTATTAAACATTTACATTTCATTAGATCTTAAACTGATTTATGTTGCGCTAAATTGTTACCTGACAACTGTAACCAACTGATCAATGAGCTGCTGTATAGTGCGGAAGTCTTCCAGCTGGGCGTCACGTCTGTATGACCATCCTCTCTTGTCAATAGTGGTTGCATCCTCAAACTTGTGCTCCAGTAACACACCTGAGAATTATCAAGGTATTAAAAGTATTTTAAAAATTTATATTGGCAAATAAGTGTCTTTTAGAACTGATCCAAGCAAACAAAGGAAAATTAACATTTACAGAATGTCCTTCAAAGACCAACTGATAATTGGTAATAGTTGTGAAACAATGCAGTGAGCAGCGCAGACATTGAATATTTGATACAAGTACCGTATATTACCGTCTATAAGCCGACCCCCAAACTTGACCCTTAAAATCAGTGTCAAAATGGTATGTTTCGTGCATAAGCCGATCCCCGGCGATGGGGTCCTAATCGCGGCAAACACAGACCACAGACAACTGGCAGTTACCAATAATCATAACTTTGGTCCACATTACTCAAAGAATTCACAATCATATATATATTGCATCTACTCACGGATCAAATGAAGTGTAGTTGACAGAAAATGCATAATATATTTTGTTTATCTAAATATCATATTTATTGTAGCAACAAACTGGCTTGCTTATTTTACCCCATTCAACAATCACGAACTGATTACCGGCTCGTTTTCCATTGACTGCTATTTTACAGTAACATCGGTAAAAATGTGTGAATTTAAATGGCTTCCGTATTTTACCCGTAGTGGTTGATAGCATGAACTAGAACACAAACCAGGTCATATATTGTGAAATCCTGATATCATTCAGCTTCCAGACAAGCATCTGGGTCAATATTACATCAGTTACTGCATTTGTGTTACCTGGATTGAACTTGTCACGACAGGTGAAGTATCCTCCATGTTTACACAGTGTGTCACTTCCCCATCGGTCATTTGTCACAACCGTGTCTTTTACAGGGCTAAAGGGGAGAACATTAAACATGAAAGTTCACTCTAGATTGGAACACATTTCTCAGAGTTAAAACACTATTAAAGCATTTTAGGCTTAGGTGTAACAAGCAGATAAATATTTTGGACACATTTGTCACTTGAAGATACAGCTGTTAGGCTCTGTAGCTCACCTTAACTGTTAAGACATTTCTACTTCAGTACAAAAGCCTGGGTATGTTGCTTACAAAACAAAGATGATACGAGAATATCTGGATTCAAACACATGATCAGCAGATCCTGTCACCACGATGGAACTGGTCGCATTCCACTAAGCAACCATAGTGCTACAACCATTGTAAGTCATCGTAAGAGTCTGGGTTTTGTTTATTTGTTCAGTTCATTCCTCCTTGACAATGGCACAAGAAGCTGTATCAAACTTCGCAAAAATATCAAAATAAAAGAAATTGTTATCCATAAAGTTTGTCAATACTCAGCAATATTCCAGCTATATTTCAGCTGTTTATAAATAATCAAGTCTGGAACAGACAATCCAGTGATCAACATTGATTTACGCAATTGGGAAACGATGCCTGACCACCCGATCCTGTTAGTCTCCTCTTTCAACATACATGGGTAGCTGAAGACCAATTCTAACCTGGATGTTCACAGGATTATGAGTATGGGAGATATGACCAACGTAGTGCTACCAGTGTTTTGTATAATGGGGTATTGAGTCTGCACAGTCAACTGTGGTGCCTCAGAGACAATATTAGACAAATGACGGACTGTTAAACTGCTGTTTAACTCAGGGGTGGAAATAACTTTAAAATTGCTAGTGTACTCCGGTACAGTGGCACATGTAAAATCACTTGCCCTGATAATTTTCCACTATACCTGCCAATTTTCTAGTTGATTTTTCAAATAAACAACATAATTAACATTGGAAAGTCAACTGGACACCGGTACAGCGTGATATAGAAATTTGCTTGCCTGACAGAAAAAAAAAACACTGGACTGGGACGTCGGGCAATGGGTTATTTTCACCCCAGTAACTACCTGTCGTTGTACAGCCATGCCAGAAAGTGTGTGGAATTCCAGTAAGATGACGGCGCCATCCACTGCCCATCAGACCACACCACATCAGGATGGTACAGGTTCACCAACTCGTACAGCTCTGGCATCGTCTTGAACTAGAAACAACATCAATGTAGTAGGGCTGCATCGAATCTACTGTGAGGCAAACATAATACATAAAACTAACATGGCATAAAAATCATTATATGCAGTGAAACAATAACAAAATAAATTCTTTGACTTGTTTTGACCATGATGACAGTGTTAATATATCTAAAAAAAGGACCCCATTATTGTTGGAGCTGATATTTATATGTTTGATGACACTTATCTTGGCTGGGTTGGATATATTCCATTTTGCATATCTCATTTGGATAAATATCAACCAAATTCAAGAAAAACACTTCTTTTTGAAAAATTCATGAATTGTTGATTGTAGTGATCACAAATAGACTGAATTCAAGAAAGGATACTGATAATGAGGATCTGAACAAATTGTAACAGCCCTACGCTGTAGTTTTCATCCATATCACGTGATGCATAACAACTTGACTACAAACCGAATCAAAAGCTATATTATCCCAGCCTTGGAGAATGCTGACATTTTGAATGTTCACATTCACCGATAAATCCAACATTAAACATTCCAGGGCCATATAGGCTAATATTTGTACAGACAGGGTTTTGCATGAAAATCAGTAACAAAATCGAAATCAGCAGAACAAATGTTGATCAATCTACCAGATTCAGCTTAAGAATAAAAAGTTATATATCATATGCAATTTTGATGCAGTGGTTGGAATAAATTGTATCTGAAACCATTATTATATCAGAAATAATACTGCAATATCATGTTATTTATAGTTGCACCATTTACTATATATATTACAAATAACACTCCGTGGTGTAGTGGTTAGAGCGTCCGCCCGGAGAGCGGAAGGTCGTGGGTTCGATCCCCGACCGCGTCGTACCAAAAGACGTTAAAATATGGTACTTGTTGGTCCCTGCCTGGCGCTCGGCATGAATGGGTACATCAAGGACTGGTTGGATCGGAGTCAGTATAATGTGTCTGAGTGGGGTATACATGCTTCACTGCGGCATGGTATCTCAGTGGGCTAAACAGGCAACCAGCTTAAGTCTGGGCTAGTACGCAGCATATGAGCATAAAATATTCTCAAGCAATATTCTCAAGCAGGCGTTAAATCTAATTTCACCTCACCTCACATCACAAAAAACAATGGTCATATAATAATGGAATAATGTAAATTTAAGATACATGGAAAAAAGTGAAATCTTCCTTCCTGCGCTTAAGGCGACCCCACTTTCTCAGTCCCCTCATTTCAGGTAGGAAAAACTTGCCTTATATGCCGTGATATACTGTACCGCAGAAAAACTAATAAATCATCCTCACTTAGGTGATGGAACTGGGATAATGAATTCAAAATCAAGTGTTGTCAAACATGGTCACTGTCTGTTGTGTGGGAGACAATTCTGTGTAGTTCGCGCTCATGGAATTTAGTATTTCACTGTTCCACTGTATTGCCAATAATACCATACGTCATTGAGGTTACGTGACTTATGTGATAACTGCCTACCCGAACAAAATCCTGGGTCTTGAACTTGTTCCTCTGATCTTGTTTAAAGTATGGGTTGACAAACTCAAACAGTGAGTGGTAAATACCAAACCTGAGGATTGACTTCTTTCTTATAGACCTTCTGGCCATAGACTTGGCCAAGTCTCCATGGAATGTCATTGTCCAGATCAATATCTATGCACTGCACTGTTATTTGCCATAAAAGTGTCTTTATCTTCAGATCATGCAGATTGTTACCCTCAGTTCAATGAGTGAGTGGTATATAGCAGCCCCCAGTTCATGCAGATTGTTAGCCCCAGTAGATGAAGTTTGCTAGTCCCAGCTCATGCAGATTGTTAGCCCCAGTAGTTTGCTAGTCCCAGCTCATGCAGATTGTTAGCCCCAGTTCATGAAGTTTGTTAGTCCCAGTTCATGAAGTTTGCTAGTCCCAGCTCATGAAGATTGTTAGCCCCCCAGTAGATGAAGTTTGCAGTTCATGCAGATTGTTAGCCCCAGTTCATGAAGTTTGTTAGCTCCATGATTGTTAGTTCAGTCCCAGCTCATGCAGATTGTTAGCCCCAGTTCATGCAGATTGTTAGCCCCAGTTCATGAAGTTTGTTAGTCCCAGCTCATGCAGATTGTTAGCCCCAGTAGATGAAGTTTGTTTCATGCAGATTGTTAGCCCCAGTTCATGAAGTTTGTTAGTCCCAGCTCATGCAGATTGTTAGCCCCAGTACATGAAGTTTGTTAGCCCCAGTTCATGAAGTTTGTTAGTCCCAGTTCATGCAGATTGTTAGCCCCAGTTCATGAAGTTTGTTAGTCCCAGTTCATGAAGATTGTTAGCCCCAGTTCATGAAGTTTGTTAGCCCCAGTTCATGCAGATTGTTGATCCCCAGTCAGGTTGTTGGTCCCACATTATGTAGATAGAGAGCAGCACATCAGACTGTCAACCAAAGAAATGCAGATTGTAAAATTGATTAAATGTTCAATGAAGAATAACATCACCAATACATTTGCTTCTCAGTCTATTCACAGTCTGTATTGACTGCCGTCACATAGATCCCATCAGTATATACTGGATACTGACCAGTAAGGTGTTACTAGAATCGGTAAAGTCTTAGATCTCTTGGGACAGGTAAATTTTTGCTTTCTCTGTATATTTGTTAAATTCTTGCCTACATTAGTGACAGAAAAAAATGCCATCAGAAACCCTGACCTGTACCTGCCAAGAGCTAGAGTGAGCTGTTGACTAGTTCTCGAAGTAAAGTTATGGGTACATTAAACGTACCCACTAAGTCCCTGTGAGGGCCAACATCCATGGCATTCCAGTTGAAGGAGTGTTTGGTTGGCCAGTTGCAGAATCCTTCATGGTGCTTTGCTGTCAGCACAACATATCTGAAGTTATATTAATATATACATATGCACATGATAGAAACATATGGTTAATAATCAACATTCCTGAAACCACATGAATTTGCAGAACTCTGTACATATAAAGCAACAGTTTTATGATGTGCCTCAAAGGCTGCAGGACACCTAAATATATACATAATTTGCGTACTGTAGAGAGAAAATATAGTATAGCAGATTTCTGCGCTGAAGGTGCATTAATTGCATCAAACCACATGACGCCAAAAGAGAATCATAGTGTTGGAGTTTAGTCCAGCCTGGCATTTTCATCAATACTGCGTACACTATGCATGTGTAGGTATCTTGATAACTTGATTGTCGATATATGCAGGCATACTCTACAACCCTTATATAGTCTCCCTGGTATATATATGGTCGGTTTCTGATTGATAATAGATCGTGTTCTAACCTTGCACCTGATGCGTTAAAAATCTCCGCCCATTGGTCGGGGTTGTAGAATTCAGCTGTGAATTGAGCTGCAAAGTCAGCATAGGTAAAACCTGGTCTGTAGTTGTCCTTCATAAACTTCACCACGTCTGCTCTTTTATGTAGCCAGAACTCCTGGAACCAAGCTCCAGCGAAGCTTGGAACAGAGAACACCCCCCAGTGAAGGAAGATGCCAAACTTGGCCTCGTCGTACCAGGCAGGGAGGGGCCTCTGGTCCAGTGACTCCCATGTGGGGTCGTAGCGGGCACCTGCCGCTAATGTCACAGCCAACAGCGTGCACAGTAACGGTACAGCAACCATGTCAGATATATCATTATTTTGTCTTTCCCACCAAATATGCTATTTATAGATGTACGTATGATCACATGATCAATCACGTGATCTAACTCAGTCACAGGTCAAAACCGACCAAGGAAACTAGGGGACCGAAACAGGTTCAAAACGCATATATATGTTTACAGGAGTACTGCACTTTACCGGGCGCACTTTTTCCCGGGTTCCCTAACCCTAAGGATCGTAAACGGTGCCTAACCCTTTTTCCGAGCATGGTAAATCTTATATAAATCATATCTAAATTTAACGAGATTGGAGCTCAGCGGTCACTTGTCCCAATGATAATAATGACACTTCGCGAGCATCTGTTGTAAGGGAGGTCACTCTCGATTACTTCTCCTGTTAGGCGAATGGAAAGGAATGTTGCAGACAAGGTTCTGTCTGATGTTCACGTGTTCACACCACACGAAACACTCACTGACACCGACGAGAGTGTGAACAGAGGTAATTTTATGTTTCTTGTTATTTTATAGGGAACCATTTGCTAGACATGTATTAGAATCACACATTTTCAGAACCGAATAACTGTGTTCGAAAACAATTTCAAGTTAGGTAATTTAAAAAGTTAATTTGATTTTATAGTAATATTATAACTTTCAGTGACCAGATTCTACTTCAGCCTCCCCCCAGATGTCTGCAGAGAGTTGTCAGCAGACATTGTCTCCGACACGTCAGATCCCAATGGTATGTAAAACTGAACAGATGAAACTGAATATTTCTCATACTGTAAAAGATAATGGATCATTAGCTAAGATACATATAGCGTTCACTGACATGAACAGCGTTCATGTCAGTGAACGCTATGTATCTTAGCTAATGGATCATCTGATTCCTTCATATTATGTTATTATCATGACTGTCATGGCGTGACAGATTAACTGTAGTAATGTTGAAATATTGGATGAACAACTGTTTTAGGAGTAGAAAGTAATATAGTTGAAAGTAAAATCTAATAATTTTATGCTGCTCTTGTACAGTGGTGTGATTTCAATTTACAATGGGGCAGTTATGTAGCTAAGAAGGTCCTCATGAGTTGTACTCTTTAATGTAAAACTGCTAAGAAAATGTATCTTGTAAATGCATGTCAATCTAATGTGTGTGATTCTGTATTTTTGTCAGTTAACACTTAAATGATAATCTCAGTCAAGCTAAGATATTGTACTAGTCTTGTATAACCAGAACTAATGAAACAATGTTAAGTCGAAGATGTATAGACCACTGACTAAAGACCCTAACCCACCCACCCCCAACACACGCACACACGTACGCACGCACACACATCAAACCCCTCAGCTGATGACTGTCATGGTTAGGATCATACTATGGTTTGGTACTTCGACTCTGATTGGCCGCAGTGGATAGCATGGCTATTGTTCACAAAGCTATTCAGTTACTGACCTTCACTGTGTTCTACCACATCAACAATTTTTCATCCTTTTGTCTTGTGTGTAAGTAAAATGTGATCACACTTTGGTTTGGTTTGGTTCTTGTTTAACGCAGCACTCACCAATATCCTAGCTATATGCCTGCAGTCTGTGAATAATCGAGTCTGGACCAGACAATCCAGTGATCAACATCATAAGCATCATCTACACAACTGGGATATGATGACATATGTCAACTAAGTCAGCGAGCCTGACCACTTGATCCTGTTAGTCGCCTCTTACGATCATACATTGGCATATGAAGTCATTTTGTGTAGGTTTAGAGAACTAACTGAAGGAACTATTTATGCAGATATATTTTTTCACATATTACAGATTATGCCATAACAGTGTTCTACCTTTGAACTTCAGATGATGGAGAACTTTTATTTGATGATGATGGTGATGTCTTGGTTACTAGGAAACCACTTACAGAAGACAAACAGGTCATCACAATCGGTAAATGACACAGTCTTCAATTTATAGCTTTGTTTCCACGATTAATACGCAAAGTATTTATATTATTTATTCTCTTTGATCATGCTTATGTAGTTTTTTAACTGCAACATAACCAGCCCTTGTTGAACAGAGCAGTTCAGCCCTTCTATCTGTATAGTATTTTGATATGGCGTTAACATTCTTGCACTGATTAATAGCATTTTGTACCCCAAAGTCATTATTTTCCTTTGCATGGAAACAACTTCCAGAATGGAATGCATGTTGCATCTCTTGCAGACATTGTTTGATCAGCATTCTGGAAGCTGGTGAGTCAGTAATGAAACACACAACTTTCTGGTTAATCTGCTGTTTGTCATAACATACTATTTAAACATGCACGCTTGCACACACGCACGAACGCACGCACGCTTCTCATCACTTGGTTGTAGTCACCCTTAGCTTGATAACAGTGTAAAAATAGAAATGTCTATTAGTGGTGTTCCGATTAATTGAAATAATCGAAGATTGGTCGCAGTGACCAAACGACCAAGCAATCGATCACATTTTCTCATAATCGAACATAAACAATTTTGGAACTACTGTTTTAGTGTTTGAAATACTTGACGATGGAACATATCTTAGAAGTTGTCAGGTCCTGAAAACATGTTTAATTCTTAGAAAAGTCACTTCACTAACTGAAAAGTCATGACTGAATATTTCTCTAAGACTCCAGGAAGTTTATGTTCATGATATATTAGTCATCACTTTAAAGTAGCAAGTTGCATCATGTTATACTTTTCTGCAATAACAACCTGGATAGGAAAATCTGAAAAATGACGCTAACCAATTTTTTTCGATGATTGTTCGTTGGTAATGAAGCAATCATCAATTGTGAGATTTCAACCAATTCCCAACACTAATGTCTATGCTATAATCAAGATGTTGTTATCCACAAAGTTGTATGCTTCATTATCTCACAGACATATTATACTTCTATCTTGCAGAAAGAGAACCAACTTTTATTATGCTCCTGTCAAGCAGAGAAAAAGATACGCTTTTTATCACTTGTCACAGTAATGGTCATGACCACTTGCCCAAAAGATATAAAAAATGAATAGAATTATCATTAAAATCCTCGCATGTTATCAGAAATGAGCGGGCCACTGTAACTTGATAATGCCCCCAAATTGCTTAACGATGGGCCATTATCAAGCCCATTGTTAGGTGATGTCATAAGGAGCTCAGCTCTTGATGTTCAATCACCTACGGCTCATTTGAACTTGGGCTCAATATGACGATATTTCTGACTCACATTTGTCACATGTACCGGTGCTGGTGCCAACCTTAACAATTGTACCATAAATTACAACAAGCAGCAATGAAAACATCGACTGGAACTCTAATGTTGTTGAGGACTGAAACAAATGGCGTCTGGTAGTATGGGCAAAAGTCAAGGTCGAATGTCACACGCAATAGTGACATCATCTGTTTTTTTCTATGACGTTTCCATATTTGTAAAAAGTGGGTCAGTGACCTTCGTCGTTTGTTGTTAGCAGTAGATGCTTCAAAACCGATACCATTGTTTGTTTTTATTATATTAAAAATCCTATACATTTTAGCTATAATAACGGTAACGCTATTTTTCAGGGCATTATCATTTGCAGAAGCCCTCAGTCTTTTCAACTGCGCTCCTTTGTTGGGCAGTTAATGAAAGACCTCGGGCTTCGAAAATGATAATGCCCTGAAAAAAGTGTTACCCTTATATTAATACTGAAAAATGTCTCCAAGCAAGTGCCTGATATTGTCTGTGTGATGCCTGATTGATAGGCCTGATTGATAGAAATAAAATAAATATTAAATTTTGAATAGTTAGAGGCAAAATATTAATTTTGGTTATGATTTCATGATTTTTGTTGAAACTCAATGTGTTTTCTCTTTCAGAACACATGATGGAGACCAAACTTGATGATGTTGGACTACAAGTAGGTGAAGGCTGTTGGGTAGATGTTTGGTTGGAGTGTTCCGTAGCAGGAAAATACCAGGTTCTGTTCGCTACAATTGTTATGTAACATTTGGTTCCCACACCATCTATCCATGATCATTCGGATTATGAAATCTCAAGTTTGGTATGTTTTGCAGAATGCATCAATGCCAAATATCATAATAGAGTGAGCGAGTGAGTTTAGCTTTATGCCGCTTTTAGCAATATTCCAGCAATATCACTGCAGGGGGACACCAGAAATGGGCTTCACACATTGTACCCATGTGGGAAGTCGAACCCGGGTCTTCAGTGTGACGAGGTAATGCTTTAATCACTAGGCTACTCCACCGAGACAAATATCACTATGAAATGGAGATATGGTGCACTGAAAATTGAGGATTTACATCTCGTACAAGATGATGTGCTTTTGGTTTTCTTTGGCAAGTGCAGATGTTATGCTTGATGCAGTGTAGATTTACAGAGATACAGCTTAATGCCATGACTTTGATGTTCCATTTATTCAGGTTTGGCAGGGTTGTCTCCTTCTGTGCGACTTTGTCCTTCACCTTCACAAAGAGTTCAAGGGCAACAAGGTCTTGGATTTGGGGGCCGGTGTTGGTCTCACAAGCATAGTGGCAGGACTGTTTGCAGAGTCTGTTCTAGTCACAGGTATGTAATGTTAAATTGTGTACATACTCTTTCAGTAAATAAATATACCTGAGTGCAGTTGCTGTGTGTAATCAACAAATCACAAACCCAAACACCCAGTGTTTTCTCTGTCAAAGAGTCTAGAGTCCTTCAAATAGGGTCACTGTCATCTGAAGGACTACTCATAACACGACAAGGTTCATGACCTATGACCTACAGAAACAATGACCCTGACTGACCATGACCTACAGAAACAATGACCCTGACCTTTGCAGTGACCATGACCTACAGAAACATTGACCCTGACCTTTGCAGTGAATGAGTGAGTGAGTGAGTTTAGTTTTCACGCCACACTCAGCAATATCCCAGCTATATGGCGGTCTGTAAATAATCAGTCTGGACCAGACAATCCAGTGATCAACAGCATGAGCATCAATCTGTAGGTATTGGGAACCCGATGACATGTATCAACCAAGACAACTAAACTGACTGTGCAATCACCACCCTATTGATCCTTGTCACTATGATGAGATGGAAGCATCATAAAATGGTTTCATAATCCTAAAGAGCTTTTTTAATGATTGTGCTTCAACAATTTTAAATTAGTGTTTTAACATTTAATGCTATTTCCATAGATGTGCTGAGAAACGATCTATTCTATCAGAATGCAACATTGCCTTGAACAAACCACTACTGGGTGAAGACTGCACTTTCAGAGTTAAAGAACTTTGCTTAAAATGAAGTGGTTGAAAGCTCAGTGGACCCAAAGACAGTTGTTCTGGCATCGCGAGGCATGACAGCATTATGCTGTAGGTGATGTTCATGACCTATGACCTACAGTTTAGTTTTCCATCTATTGTTTAGCACTATTGTCCCAGTTTCAATTGATCCTTGTCACTATAATGAGATGGAAGCATCATAAAATGGTTTCATAATCCTAAAGAGCATTTTTAAATGATTGTGCTTCAACAATTTTAAATTAGTGTTTTAACATTTAATGCTATTTCCATAGATGTGGGAGAAACGATCCTAAGTGCATCAGAATGCAACATTGCCTTGAACAAACCACTACTGGGTGAAGACTGCACTTTCAGAGTTAAAGAACTTAACTGGTTGAAGTTCAGTGGACCCAAAGACAGTTGTTCTGGTAAGACAGCATTATCAAAATAATAGTCTGAAAATAGTTCTCTGATTTTGTAATGTGAAAATATTTCGTATATGAATTGTAGGATTAGATACCATTAAACATGACTGTATTATAATTGCTTCAATTGAAGCAAGTGATTAAGACTTTACAAATGAAACCTGACTTCTTATACACAAAGTAGAGGACTTCTTTGCTGCAATGTGTAAATATAAATCAGATTACAAATCATATTGTCACATCCTGACACCCCCACTGATAATCATTTTGAAAAATGGCTGACACACCAGCAAATACGTATGGTACATATTTAATTTTCTGTCCGACAGATGTTAGAGCCTGCAGATTCAAGATGACAGCAGATGACCACGCATTGCTGGACAGTGTCAGCCTCATTCTGGCAGCTGAAGGTCAGTTTAGTATATACATGCAGAGGTACAGATAAGCTGCCTATCTGCGTACATTTTGCAAATATTTATGTGAAAACTCAATTCCTATTAAGTCTGTTGTGTACAAGTACGCTTGAATTTTTTGAAAATATTCAGTAAATGTGATCTTACATACATACAAACAAAAATGTCAAATCTTAGCTTGCGTACCGGTGGATAGATAAAATAACTGAGGTATATTGAGAGGTTCTATTTCAGGACATGAGCTGGACAACTTGCAGTCTTTCTTATCGTTTCTCAGGTTACAAATCAAATATAAATAACAAACACTAACATTTAAACTTTATTATTTTCTTAAAATTCATGGAAAATGACAAAATACCCAATTGAGTTTGAGTGAGGTGAGTACAATTTATTTGGTTACTCAAAGGAAAATTAGGATACCCAATTGAGATGAACACAAGCGAGTACATAACTCAATGACCCAAAAAGTTATCTGTAGCTCTGACATGCTGGTCTTACAGGTGTCCTCCCATTAGTCATACATCCCACTAGTCATGCGGGTTTAAAACAACATATGGTATGGTTGTTTGCACCAACAACTACTTTTGTAATACCTTTGTAAAAATGGAATGATCCAAAACAAATACAGCTTCACATCAGTGAACTTTAATAGTCTGTCTTCAGCATAGTATTCATACATAATCTGATCTTGAGCATGGTATTCATACATAATCTGATCTTGAGCATAGTATTCATACATACTCTAATCTTGAGCAAAGGGAATGAATCCCTTGATTTTGCAATTTTCAGTTTTGGTGTATTATGTTCATATAACTTCAATGTAATATACTTTAATAACATTCCTTTATATGTTTTCATTACCAAAGACTGTGGCATTCTCAGTGTTAGAGATTAAACTAACCTCAAGCTCTCAAGCGGCTAGTCCGTTTTGCACAAAGGGTATATGCCTGTTGTTGTTTTAATTACTCCCTCATTTGCTGTGTGACTAGTGGGAGTAGGACTAATGGGAGTATGACTAATGGGAGTATGACTAATGGGACATGACAGGTCTTACAGGATGGTCCCTCACAGCCAACCTTTATGTGTCAAGTCTCAGGTGTTATAATGAACATTAAATCCAGCAAGTAATCATTACCCAGGGATTTTTTAGGGTAGAGTTATTAACAAATGTCTATGACTTCAGTTTTGCAATACACACAGTTTATGCGCTTCTTGAATATTCAACCCTAATTTTCAAAAACTTAGGATATTCTGTCTCTGATATAGACTGAGAATCCTTCAAAGAATTTGTAAATTTTGTGAGTATGAGACATCATTACGCACAATGGAATTATAGATGTAATAGGAAGACATTGGTGTGAGTTGATGGCTGTTGTTTCTTGGTGGAATAGAGTCACAAAACGTGAAAGCATAGAAACATATAAACTTTCATCTTTGGGGGATAAATCTTCAAAGGTTCAAGTTGAGGTTATATTTAGGAACAAGATCAGAGTTCTGTGTTCTGTTTTCAGATAACACAATCTTAATGTGTATGATACTCTTGTATTGTATTTTTCTGATTATATACAAAATTTACAATTTTCTGTTATTAGGCAGTGTTTTTCTTCTTCAGTAATATATGATCCAGACTTAACTGATGCTTTCTTCTCTACGGTAACACAACTCATGTCCAGACCACCAGCAAAGACTCTCTACATGACTCTAGAGAAGAGGTACGTTATCGTTCGCATAGATTGCAGATATTCTTGTTTATCTTTTGTAGTGAGTGATTATTACCAGTCTTCACTCACTCACTTTACACACATGTGCATGCACAAATACACTTGCACACACACATATGCATGTTTTTGAAACCTATGTATGATAATCATTAGGTTTCAGAAACTCTTTCAAATACACTGATATTGGTAAAGTTGTCACCTTTGCACCCCAATTTATAGACCTTGGACCCCAAAATTATTACTGAAACTCTCTAGATTTCACAAACAGAACCAGGCAGAGCCACATAAATACCTATAAACCTGTGAATTGGCCTTCAGCAAGCCATTTGGTTGTAAGAGGCGACTAACAGGATCGGCTGCTCAGGCTTTCTGACTTGGTTTACGCAGGTATCCCAGTTGTGTGGATGTATTCATGATGCCAATCATATCGATCACAATACCTTATGGCGTAATTTGTGAAACTTTGTGACCAAAAACACTGGCAAAACAATGGCCTGTGACATCAGACTGTTGCTGGGTTATCTAAGCTCCTCTGTGTTCTGCCAACTCTATAGGCATTATCATTGAATAATTGAATATACAGTGAAGCCTCGTTAATCCGGACGGTTGCGTTTCTCAGCAAATTCGTCCGGATTTCGAATAGTCCGGACTACTGAATCAAGACCCAAGTTCAAGCAAGAGTTGCTTCCCTTACTATTACAAAAACGACACGACTCTGGATAAAACAAATAAGCATTTAATGTAAAGCTTATAAAACGATGAATAGCAAGCACAACAATAAATTATAGTTACAGCAAAAAGTCTTTCATAGTTGTTTGTGTTCTTTTAACCTTCTTCATTGAATTCTTCACATCAATAATTTTACCGAGTGTAATTGCTTATCTTAGTGACATGTGACATACGTCAGAGACCTTCTGCACCTGATGTGCTGAATTCTAAAGGTGCTCCAATGAAGGAATTTTGGAATATGTTTTGTATGGGTTTCCTTAAAGCACCTGCTGAAGGTTCCCTCGTTGTCTGGGGTTCTAAATGATTTCAGTGTATATTGTTATGGCATGAATCACTAAACACAGCCCTTAATGTAATGAAATCCTTGAAAAGTCACATCAAATTACATCATAATTTTAGTTGATAGTCCTCCTTATTTACGCAAAAATATTTGACTGTCAGAGCTTTTGTTGTCTTTGTTGACATTTGAAGCTGTTGACTTCATATACAGGTGAGGTAGCGCTATAGCATACTTTATACTTATGCAGTGAACAGTCATATGTTTTAGTAAAATATAGATAATGGATCACTGTTCGCACTGATTGCAGACTGGTGTTCACGCTGGCTGACCTGGACGTAGTCAGTCCTGCTTACGAACATTTCCGTGAGATGATACAAGAACTGTCGGGTTTGTGTGTTGATGGAGTCACCTTCCACTGCTGCCAGATCCATTGTGACTTTCCCCAATACTTCACGTATGATCGGCACAAACACCTGGTGAGTAGATACATGTAACAGTAACAATTATCCCCTAACATGTACCTCCCAGTTACAAGATTATAGAAGACGGTCTGAACTGGTATCTTTTGCTATTCAGAGATTATTTACATTCTGCGTTAGGGTTTGTTTGTTTGTTGTCACTCAGATATATCCCAGCTATATGGCGGCGTTCTGTAAATAATCAAGTCTGGATCTGACAATCCAGTGATCAACAGCATGAGCATCAATCTATGTTATTGGGATATGATGACGTGTCAACCATGTCAGCAAGTCTGACCACCCGATCCTGTTAGTCGCCTTTTGCGACAAGCATGGGTTGCTGAAGACCAAGTTTACCCCCAATCTTCATGAGTTTCTATGTTTGTAAGGCAACAATTTAGTTGTGGAGAGTAGGATTTGTTAAATCATACAAACCTATGGGATTCCTGTTGAAGTAACTTTATGGATTCTGTGGTTAGACTAAGCAACTTGTTTGTGTGACTTGACATTGTAGGACATGGCTTGTCAGTCACTGGATTGTCAGATCCAGACTCCATTATCAGGCTGCTGTAATTTTATATAACATAAGATAAGATAAGATAATACTTTATTATCCCGGAGGAAATATGGGTTAGTTAATATATTTCAATGGATGTGAAATCATGTGTCATGTCCATTGTCTACATTGCATATATGTGTTTGTTTCTGTTTTTTTCAGGAGCTGTGGCAAATAACTTCCTGTATGGCTGAATGAATCTTACAGCAGCATGGGGCATATGTGGCCCAGTGGTTCAAGTCATTCAGAGTTGCGTCACTGAAGAGATCCAAGAATTGCCCATCAGAACCATACTCATAGGTTTCACACATGTGATAAGGGTCTGTTTGGGCCGTACTCACACACTTTAAAGTTTGACATACCGTTCTACCCAACTGGCCAACTCAAAATCATCAATGTGAGGCTGAAGACTCATACTGCTCAAATTCCAGACCAGGATGTGAGAGAAAGGGTTCTGGCACTTACTGTCAGCAGGATGTAGGTACCACCTTGCCCCAATAATGGCGAGAAAAGATGGTCACTGACTGTAGCCGGGCTGCAGGGACAGGCTCATCTTAGTGATGCAGAGAAAAGGTTCTGGCATTCACTGATCAGGAGACAATGTAGCCAGGGATCCATTCCACAAAGCATTCATAGCACTTTGCCAGTCATAAGCCCATGAACAAGTACAGAGATGTGATAGGTTGTGACATTTCAAATGCTTTGTGGATCAGGACCCAGGATGATGGTATCAGCCCATCTCAAAATGCAGAAAAAGGGTTCTCAAGTTCCTGATCTGGGAACATGTAACCAGGATAATAGTACCAGCCCAAATCATGGATGTAGAGGAATGGTCTGGCATTAACTGAAGGGATCAGGAGCACATTTTTCTATTTTTGTAGACTCAAAATTGAACTGAACTGTAGCTGACACCACTTCTGACACCATGTAGCGTTCTGTGTATCTTGAGATTTGAATAAACACAGAGCTGTCATGGGTACAGGTCGGACATGTTGCTTTACTCATTTAACCTGCTTTACAGTGCAAGGGAGATAACTCTCGTAGAAGTGCATATCAGTACGTGAACTAGTAACTACTGCTAAAACAACTGGTGTGACAAGGTGGACATTGCTTCTATGGTCCAGTCATATTGACCAATGGTCAGCGGTGGAGTTTGATGCATTGCCCATGTTCATTTGTGCACCAATATGTTTTTCTATACAAACTTTACAATGTGAGGACAGTTCACTGCCCTTGGCAGTTATGTATACTAAAATTTTGGGAACATCTTAGTTTCATTGTTTTGTTATCATTGTGTATTACACAGAAGATCCCTTCTTTTACCCCTTCTGTTCATGATGTAAACTATTGATGTCAGGTGGCTCCTTCTATAAATGATAACAAGCATTGTCACTAAGGTGACATAATCCCCCGCCGCAAATTATCAAATCAAACTTAAAAGTAATGAAAGTGAAGGTCGTAATTTAAGATGAAGTTAAATGTAAACAAAAACATGACCAGTCAACCTCTCTTGATATCTTGCTCTGTAGTTGTTCAAACGCACAAATATTTTCAAGACTCACTTTGACCTTGACATGAATGTCTTAGTGTATGAAATATGCAAAAATAGTAATAAAGAAATTGCTTATTGAAAAACATTCAAGGGAAGTCTTGAAAGTCTATGAAGAAAATCCAGTGAACTGTTCTTGAGATATCTCGCTGACAATCTTAACATGCAGTTTAACATGCTGAAATCTTCAAAGTGTCGCCGTGACCTTGAAAATTATGTGAAGGTCACCAAAATCGACTGAAATCTTGCACCTTCACTAGATGAAGCTTGGTGTCAAATTATGTGAAGAAAAATCGACTCCAGATGAATGGTTCTTGAGATATCTTGAGATATCTCGCTGACAATCTTTACATGCAGGTTAACATGCTGAAATCTTTAAAGTGTCGCTGTGACCTTGAAAATTAAGTGAAGGTCACCAAAATCGACTGGGCCCTGCGCCTTCCCTAGATAAAGCTTGGTGTTGAATATGAAGAAAATCCAGTGAACGGTTCTTGAGATATCTCGCTGACAAGGGTAAAACGTTAAAGTCCCCTTGTGACCTTGAAATGAAGGTCAAGGTCACCAAACCTGACTGGGACCTTTCTTTTACTGTGATGAACCTAGGTACCAAATATGAAAAGAATCCAGTCAACGGTTCTTAAGATATTCCAATTCGTACGTACGTACGGACGGACAGCGGAGATTAATACTATATCCCCTACACCACGGAGGCGGTCGTTAATGCCCTGTCCATCGAAGTGATCCCTGTTACTGTTAACACTTTCTTTACTCTTGGTGATTGGTGGATCTTCTCAAGACAATGTTTCAAGGACAGGCAAAACTGAGAACATAAATTGTTCATATAGGTCTTTGCATGCTGTGGGGTTTTATGTTTTTGTGTTGGTGAGAGCTGGTGACCATTCCGTCAAATACTAGGTAATATTGTGAAAAGAGGTCTTCCAAAACATGAAGTCTTAACTGAAGTGCATGTAGCTTCCTTGTGAAGTAATCAAAGCAACATGAAAATATATTTGTCGTGGCTTTATTTTAGGAATAATTGTCATTTCAACAGGTCATGGCTGTCTACATAGCAACCACATTTTCGAAACGCTGAGGTGTTTTTGATATGAGAGATAGTCGTCTCGGAGGGTTCACGTGGAGAGAGTGAATAAATCAAGAAGTGATCCATAAGATTTGTCTTGTATTGCATTGTTCCTGGTGAGGCTTTTTTACCCAGAGAGAGAATGGAAGTTGTAAACGTTCATTCAGGTAGTTGAACGGTCTATTTTCTTTCTCAATCAGCAATGTCACTTGTCTGGTGTTATATTCTGTACAAGTGATCAATACATTCTTTTATTGTTTTCTGACAGGACTTCTTATGACCTTTTTGATTTAAACAATTGCATGGAGAATCCCTACTGTAGGTCAGTATTTCTGCAAGAAAATATTGAAAGCATGTTATTTCCTATACTTTGATCTTCAGCTTTACGATGGTCTTGATGAAAGCCAAACTTCGTCTCCCTATAGAGCGACATTTTCTGTATAAACATTCACTCTGTATAGAGTTTCGGATATCGGTGGAGTAGAAACTGTACACTTTTTTAGTTTCTTGAAATAATCCGTAGTGGCACAGATTATACACTATATAACCTGCACCAAATCCCAACACATGATTTCTGCTTGTGTTTTGGGGGTCAAACCATTGTGATGCATTTATATCCACATTTTCATTAACAAACAAATAACACATTAGGATTTCATATGAAAAGTTTAATGATAAAAATTTAAACAATGGTCCAAAAACTCTGTACATTGTCTTGAAATGTGCAAAATGAACACAGGGCATTCTGCAGCAGTCACATGACTTGATCACATGATCAATGTTATGAATGTGTCACATGATCAATGCTTTGAATGTTCAATGGAGTCATAACATCTTCATGCATAATGACTCGCCCAATTTTTACAAGGGGATATATAGATAGAAAAATTTACATTTTCAAACATTTGTTCTCTTTTCACAACAAGCAAAGTCAACGGATATGCAATTTCCACATGCTCAAAATATTTGCCATTCATATATCAGTGGATTTACTAACAAGTATTAAATTCAAACTAACCAAAACAACAAGAATGAAACACCTCATAAGTTTCACAATATCCATTGATGACGACAAATGTAACAACTCTTCAGATTATTGTAATAAGAGAATGCTTCTTGTTTCATAGAGTCCGTTTTGTTTATGATGTATCCATGGAAACATAGAATACACACACACACTACTTGGGGACAATACTCGCAATACACTGACAAATGCACAATTAATCCAAACATTGTTAAAGAGATTGATATGAATCCAACATTTCACTCATGGTAACCATGACAACTAGAACCGATCCCCGTGCCAACAGCCTGTCCACAAGCAAGAAAAACATATTCAAGGTTATTTCACTGCAAATAAAACAAAACATTTAAAATCAGTATGGACACAGGTACCTGTTTTGGTAATCATTTTACACATTTCAAGTTTGCTGAAATATGTTTCATGAAGGCTGACTGACTGACTGACTGACTGAGTTTGTTTTTTCGCCGCTTTTAGCAATATTCCAGCAACATCACGGCGGGGGACACCAGAAATGGGCTTCACACATTGTACCCATGTGGGGATTCGAACCCGGGTCTTCGGCGTGACGAGCCAACGCTTTAACCATTAGGCTACCCCACCGCCCCACATTAAGGTTGAGCAGTCTTTGGTAACTTTCAGTGTACACAGCAATATTCCAGCTATATGACAGTGGTCTGTAGTGAGTGAGTATGGTTTTACCTCGCTTTTGCAAGGAACACCAGAAATGGGCTTCACACATTGTACCCATGTGGGGAATCGAACCCAGGTCTTTGGTGTGACAAGCCAATGCTTTAACCACTAGGCTACCCTGTTTATCAGACAACCCATATTGCAGTACCAATATTTGTGGATCTTTCTATTGACGATACCATTTTTATCAACTTGGGTATGATTGACAATGAAAGTTACATTTGCTTCAGTGAAATAACAGATAAATGCTGAATTTAATGGCCTGTGGACAAATGTATGGCAACTGAGTGCTCAGGCCACACAAGAGCGTACACACTGTATACATGTACTCATACAAATTGCTTCCGAACTGACAACACTAGCTGCATATAAAAAGTGCCATTTGGATGCTGTTTAGATTGATTTCTTTCTGAACAATACAGAACAAATAACAGTTTGCAAGAAAATCTGCTGCCACAAGTCAAGATGATAAGTGACAATGCCATTATGATTAGCGTGTTCTTATGGCACACACACACACACATTTAACATAGGAAACAGGATACACAGACCGGTCAGTGGGTGCTGCTGGGAACAAGATAGCATCAGACAGGGATGCTGTTACCACTACCCGATGGCCAGTTGTCTTGTGGAATCTACAGCAGTATCGGGTGGTGGTGGTGGACACAAAATATCACGTTTTATATGAAGTGCAGGAGTAGAGCTGAGGTCAAACGTGTGATGGGTGAACACTTTCTCCACTGAGCAAACAATAATAACAAAGGAAGTGTGTATGTCCGTACTTCCATGGTTGAAGATAATTTAAACATCAGGAACCTATAACTGTATGTTGTATTAGCTGTTGCAGGTTGCATTTGGTTTTAATTACATGCACACATAACAAATCGTGAGTTCTTTCAATACATAAAAGTGAAGCTCAAAAGAGTTTCTTGGTTGCAATGTCAATGTCTATTCACTGTGTGCTGGGCAGTAAGCTCAACAGTGGGTCTCTTAGTGTTAGTAAAGCTAAGGTTGCTGTTGTTCAAAGTGATCTTAGTACTTAGGTGACCGTAACTCCAATACCTTAGGTAGTCTTAGCACTAAGGTTGTTTTGTACAATGGCACCCAGGTAGCTTATAGTTATGTCCAGCACGTATAAGTACTTTGAGCTTTTGATGTTTATAAACTTTTATGCTGGTCATGTCAACATTTCTTAACCAGGCCCCGATTTCTCGAAACAAACTTAAGTCTGAGTTTTTACTTAAGTTAGAGTTTTTACTCAAATTTGAGAAAATGCATTTCCCAGAATGAGCTGAAATCGATATTTAATTCAAACATAGTAGATAATTTAAGTTTGGTGAAAAGAATACTGAAGTTGTTTGGGCTTTTTGCATTTTAAAAATGCAGCCGAGTTAAAATTCAGCTGTTTCAAATAGTCAAACTCAGTTTGAAATTTGAGTAAAAACTTAAGTTTGTTTTGAGAAATCGGGACCAGGACCAAATAATGTAATCAAATCAGTTGTGGTAAGTGTATACAATTACAACAATGGACACAAAGCAGAATGAGTAATAATTGTATTACATCAGCGATGTTTTGACAACCTGTGTCCTACCCCGACTACCTTGTTTCCAGCTCACCTTCACAACAGGATGGAGTATGACAAGACGAGGGTTACAATCACGGAGGAGGAGGATGATACGATGAATCCCTGCTGCTTGCGTCACAGTATAGGTGGCACATGGTAGTAGCAATGGATGTCTAAAATAGACAATCTCAATAAAATAATCCCATTTCTGCCCTGAATGTGTGGAATGGTTCTCATCTGTGGCACATTGATAGTATTGAGGTATTGGGTGTACATGCCTGTCACAACATGAATGCATGGTATCCATGGTGATAAAGGAAGGACCAGCACGACGTGGTGTCCATGGTGATGAAGGACCAGTA